GGGTATGCCATCCAACTGGTGCCTGCCTCAAAAACCATAGGCTGATTGGGAGTTTTTTTTGCAGCTGATTGGCTAAACATCCACACTTTTTTTGGATTGTTTTTTGGAGGTTTTTAGGTGTTGGTTGAGGGGAATGGTAGCTTTTCTTTTCGGGTGACTGGATCCAAATTTTCTGCGATAGTTTTGGCCCTAGGTTAGTGCACGAATTTCTTGATGTTCCCGTGACAAATTGGAAGGTCAATTTGAGCACCGAACTGACAGCCGTGGCAAGATAGTGGGTGTCAATGATTGTTGGGCAGCATAGAGTCCTCTTGCATGTGGAAACGCGTGAGTGCAATCGCAACCATAGCATGTCACTTCTTGACTCTTCACAACTTTAGGCATCTATCATAATCTATGATAATTTGGACAACTCAAATCTTGAACTGTTTCATGGCATCTTTGCACTGCGAAGTCGGCTCAGCTGATGTGCCAGGTGGTGGTTTTGCCCTACCAAGCTGGGCAAGGAGTCGGGATGATGCCTCCAATGATTCCTCGTCCAGCAGTTCTGGCACAAACTGCTCCCATCGCGAGGGCCAGTGCAGATGCCAATTTGCAGCCCTTGGGTTTCTTGCCTCAAGCCCTGGCATCCGATGAATAGACGTGGCCCCTGCAAGCTAAGCAAAAATTAACGTTGGCTGCAGATGATTGCGGTCTGTGACTGAGTAGAAGGTTATGAAATTATGCTGCTTTTGATTGGTTGATTGGCTGATTTAAGCTTTGACTCTCAAATCTACGCACGTCTCACCGCTTGTGGCGGCACGATCAGAGAGGTTCAAGTGGAACCAGTGCACTTTATCTGAAAGCTGTTCAATCTTTTCGTCGTCTTCAGTCCAATACGACTGTACAATATGGGCCGTTTTTGGGCTGAACCATTGTTGGATATGTACCCTGTGGTAAACTAACATAACTATGGAAAATCACCATTGTTAATGGGAAAACTCACTATAAATGGCAATTTTCAACAGCTATGTTAGTTTACCAGAGGGTATTCCCCTCAGTGACTGGCGGCCGTGAATCCTAGCACAAAAGTGCTTCAGCATCTCAAGGCACAGCTCCACCTGAGGTGTCTGTGGTGTGCAGCTTCCAGCTGCTCTCTTAGAGGAGCGTGCTTCGGTGAGGTTTTTTGCCATCGATCCCTGGCCATATTTCCATACTTTGATGGTCATCAATTGGCAATTCCCAGATGGAGGTTGGCCCCAAAATCGGCACTTGCAAAAATCGCTAAGAGTTGAGTTTCTGTTCCACCATTGGATATATTCATTTTCAGAGATGTTTTTTTCCCCTGTGTTTTCCCATGGATTTTTCCCCGGTGGCGTGGTGGCACCTTGCCTCACCGAGGACGTGACCTCTGAGGAGGGCCGCTCGTGGCGCGTCATGCGACGCTTCAACGACTTCTGGCAGCTCAAGGAGCAGCTGGGCCCCAGCGCGCGGAAGCTGCCGGGGGCGCCCTTTCCCAGGAGCTCTTGGGAAAGTCAGGGATGACTTGGTTGATGATTGGGTAAACACCATAAGATTAAGAAAGGTGGATGAGGTCACCACACTGGAAAACTATGATAAACTATGTACATCGATATACATTATATACCTTGTTCCTCCAGTAGCTCATTTGACGGTCGTTCGACTGGCGACTGGAACACTGGAACAGGAAGCTCCTTTTTGCCTGCAGTGGCGACAAGTTGGAACAGCGACGCGGGCAGTTGGAACTCTGGTTGGGCTCGGTAATTCAGCAACCACGTGCCGATTGGATTGGAGTGTTGCGACGCTTGGTTTTGGTGAGCTTTGGCCGTGCCAAAGATGATCGCTCAAGTCTAGACACGGTCAGAAAGTGGGCCATAGCCCAAATAATGTTGGTAGGCAATAACAAACCATCCATATTTTGATGGTATACCATCCATTTATGGTAAAAATTGGGGACGGTCAGCATGGCAATATGCACTTAGATGAGCGTGTCGGAGCTATATCTAATTTTTTTGTTCTATTTGAGAACTGCCCGGGCAACCACCAAAAACAAAGACACACGCACAAAAAAACCACACATGTTCATTGACGTGCCACGTAATTATATTTTCGAAACGCAGCAGACGAAAAGGCAACGCGCATGCACACAAACATACAAATCAATACAGCTGTGCAAATGATGGTACCTAGCATCCCCCAAAATAATTCACATACTGTAGATCATGATAGACCCCGACATGAGCTGACTGAAAGCCGTCTTCCAACCCCCTTGACCGTTGAGGGGACGGTGCTGAGGAGTCTTCCTCCAGACGGGTCGACAGATGATCGACCTTCCGACCCCGCCACAGCATCCGGTAGCGTTTCCGCAACAAATTCCTCCATTTCAGTTGATATCCTGAAAACAGCGACTCCTCCATTTTCTTGGATGATTTTTGTTGCTATGGATGCATCTGAAACATGTATATATTATATATATATAGATGTATCCATGTGTATCCCACGAATAGCAATCCTCATGGGACAATGATAATCATCCTTTTTTGTTTCTTTTCTCTGGAGTTTTCAGCGCTTGAGGCAGCCCAGGATTGGCGTGTGGAGATTGAGGTGCCGTCGCACGTCAGCACAGGCCGCGGGGCCAGATTCCAAGATAGCTCAGATACCCTCTGGTAATGACTAACATAGCTATTGAAAATGGTGATTTATAGTGGATTTTCCCATGAAAAATGGTGATTTTCCATAGCTATGTTAGTTTACCAGAGGGTAGGTGGAGGCTTTGAGTAAGATCCAACCATGCCTCAAAGCTGGCAATGTTGGAAACATGGTGAGACCCAAACCATTCCGAATTGCTTAGAAGTGGCACTGGAACATCCGTTGCCTGGAAGTCAGCTTGCGAATGCTGGGGCGCACGGAGGCCAACTGCTGGCTGTGTCACTCCCTGATGGGCGCTCCCTGAACTTCACCGTGCCCAAGGCTGGGAAGGGCGCTAGGAGGCCTGGAAGTTATACTGAACTTACTTAACCATGAGTCAATAGCCAAGAAGGCCCATGTCAATATATACCTGTGGCTTGGTGCATGTACTGGGTTACTAGGGTTCTGGCCGATTCTGGCCCATCCCTTGAGCCAGGGAGTCAGCGGTTCCAAGATCGAACTGAAGTATGACCCCAGCCAGAAGACGCTGGAGCTTGCTTGATCAACGCTGATGGTGTGGTGAGGCACCATAGGACCAGGGCTGCCAGGGCCGGACGCCTGCAGGGTGGCACTAAGACTGTCACGACTCGCAGCAGGTGAGAAAAATGTGAGACCAAGTTCCATCTCACATCATATTGGCTATGGCTTGGTATGGCGCCAACAGAGGACACCAATGTAAACACACGATTGGTCATTCTTTTGGAATTTTAGTACCTTTTTAATCCTTTTTAGAATTTAACCATTTCAACAATGAGGGAGAATATATATATATATACATACATACTGTACATATGTATATGTATATAGTATATATATATTTATGTATATATGTCTATATATATATACATACACAAATAACGTCGACGCATATCGACATCACCAGCCGGAGACATCGAGCTGGTGCAACAGTGGCACTGCCTCGTGTCCGAAGCCATGTCAGCTGGTGGGTCTTGAGCAACTCCGAAGGACACTGAGAGAAGGATGCAGCAAGTGAAGCTTACTATAAACATCTATAAACATCTATAAACATCTATAAACATCTATAAACATCTATAAACATCTATAAACATCTATAAACATCTATAAACATCTATAAACATCTATAAACTGGAAGGCTTATAAGATATCATTAGCGTGTTTCGGAAAAACTTAGATATTTGTGGTGACATCACTGAATCCATGCAGCTGGACGTTGCATGTGGAACCTCATCAGTGCCCTGCAAAGAGGCTGAAAGGAAGCTATACCCGCTACCCTGCAAGCATGGTGAAGCAGGCAGGTGTTGATGCAGTGCTCTGTAGTCAATTCAAACCCTAGAGGCCCTAGAGGGGTCCCACTCCATCAATCCCGCTCCGGGGAAGCCATGGCGGATGGCGCGCCCAAAGCTGTCAAGGAGGATCCCTACAGCGTTCCAAGGATGCAAGAAGTAGAGCTATAAAAAGGATGCAACGTGATAAGTCATCAGAAACTACCAGAGATTTGGATTGAGACTAGACACACCCTCCGTTGGGCCTATTTTGTTTTACTGCTTGAAAGGTTGTAATATCGTCACATTTCAGCACATCATCTGGACATGGGAAGAGATTTTCCAGGCAACCATCTTGGTTTACCAGAAGGATCCATAGGTTGCATGCCATCCTGGAAAGATTCCTGCCTGAGGAAATCAAAGCGGTGCTTGACCAGTGACTCGGCTTGAGGTCCGGATGTTCGGCTATGGGAAAAGAGCAGATCGGATGGATCGATTTAAGAGATTTTAAGAGCAAATTGTTGGGAGGACATTTGTTTGTCATTCAACACTATAGCTGGTTTAGCCGCAACCCAAACACCAACCAACCAGGACTGTGGAACATGTTTGCCCAATTTGATTGATGGCTGCATGGAAAATCCAAATGGCTCATCAAGGCAGATGCGACATCAACCCTACGAGCGCTTCGACAGCTTCTATGAAGGCCCCAGCTGCCAGCATCAACTCGCCCTTGGATTTTCACGATGGGAACGCCCCGACGATTAAAAAACATCGACTTGGATGTTACTTGTAACCAATACCGCCAATACCATTGGATCTCCAGCCATTTTGTTCGGGGGATCGCTCCTATCTGGTTTTGTTCAACAATTTGGCACCCATACACTCGAATTTTCTTTGAAAACAACATTCATCAATCCCCGATCCAAAAGTTAGTTGTCATACCTTCGGGATCCTTCGGGTTAAGTTCAGATCCGTAAGGGCCCCAATTTGCATGGCAACAAGTACCGGTAACCCCAACTTCGACAGGTGAGGAGTTCGCGGATGCCAAGTTTGCAGAGTTGGTGCCCTGGGGAAAGGACCAAACCTTCAGCGGCCTCACCCACGGCACGCCGCACCTCGGTCCCACGTTGACTTCGTTGACACCGCCCGGTTTTTTTTTTGGTTTTTGGATCTCCGGCCAAACGCCAAGGCCCAAGAATTTGAATGAATCCGAATCCACATACGGTAATTCCACATAAATCCACATAGTAATGACATCTCCATTTTAATTGGGCGGCTGTGCAACTGGGCAGAAGGGATTCCTCCATGAGCCCAGGAAGGGGGCTCACACACCACACGGCTGGGGCGTGTTGGAACATCATGAAGGCTTCCTTCAAGCCTGTGCTGTATGGAGGGCTCCTTGGATGATACAGATGATACCCTCCAGTAAAGTAATGCAAAACGTAGAATTCTCGACGTTATGTATAGTATTAGATATCAATTATAAAGGATTTTAAGGGCCCCCCCCCTTCCCCCTAAAATGGTCATGGGTTCAATTCCCACGGGTGACGCGGTCACGGTCCTCCACAGTAGAGGCACACTCTCCATGAGGGAGATGTCCCTGTAGTCCAGCATAATTGGTTTGCTTCAGCCTCAATAACAGTTGCTGCAAGGGGTCTTAAAAAGTGGTTTTAAATCAACCCCTTTTCGTGCATCATTTCACGCTGCACAAGACACCGTATCATGCAATCATGCTCTGGATAAAATCAATCTAGACTGCGCAAAAACGTTTTTGGTGTATCATCTTAGGCGCGCAGCATTTTGACACCACTCCTCTCCCACTACACTACCTTTCGTCTGCCTCCGCCTGCTCTCAAGTTTACTGGAGGGTAGTTGATGAGAGTTGGGCAGCTCAAATTTTGGTGCAACATCCAAGTGTTTTTTTCTGGGATACTGGCTTGAGTGACTTGTCTCGCGCCCAGACATTGGCGTTGTGTTTGAGGACGGCTTAGCTGATGGTCCTGGAATGTGGGCGAGCATTGTCGATGGCAAAGAACAGCCTCTCGTTCGCGGAACATCCCGCATCTCTTTATCTCTAACAGATTTATTGAAAAAAACATAAAATACAATCATATAGCTGGCAGGGGCCAGTGGTACATGTGCTACTGCCGCACCAACAACATGGTTGCCGTTTCCACCCGGATTTTGCAGACCTCTGAGGTGTGGTTATGGCACTTGGATGCAGGTGTGATCCATTGGTGGCTTCAATGGGCACCGCAAAGAATTTGATGTTTTTTTTTCTCGTCCCATCCCCAACAGCCCCATACAGCCCCAACATTCCAACAAAAACATAGATTAAGAATATTTGGGATGAGATTATACAGCTGATGATTTACACATATTCCATTATTCCAAAGTCATGTGTAAGTCATCAACATCCCATCCCATTTGATGATTTACACATTTTACACATTTGGGACAATGTCGGTGTTGAAGATTTTGGGGGGATGGGATTAGATCCCAAGAATCCACTTTGACACAGGGCAAGCGGCACGGATTCTTCGCCTTGGTGAAAGAAGGCAGCCGGGGAAATGACTGGGTTGGGGTCTATGCACTGTGATCGGTTGGAGTTTTGCAGTGCCTTATCAATCAGATCCAATCAGGTTATGTGTGTAGATATGGGTATCATAGATTCACTACCCCTTAGAACTGGAGCAAAAACTGACTGCTGAAGAGCACCACAGCCAACCAGAATTAATGGAATCCAATTTGTGGCATGTCCAGGCCCGGGCACGTAGTATAGTAGATTATGATTACATAGGATTACGTATCGTAGATTCAGGAGGCGGGTTCTTGTACGGCAGATGTCAGTTAGCCACCCCAAGTTTCAAGGGAACGCTCAGCCTCCACCCTGTCCATGAGGTGGCGTGTACCTCGAAGACTACGACAACGGAGAACTGAAGAAGCGGATAAAGTGGAGAAGAGATAAGCTGCATGTGACTTGTGCCAGATGTTCCTCGCTGGCAAACAGGCCCAGTATATGCACATGTATGTACATGTATGCATATGTCACATACGTCCTCGCGGTTAATATTGTTTCGTTGTTTCAGTTATTTCAGTTCAGCAAAAACTGAGGTTGGCCCCCTGGTGGCTTGGTGCTTTCAAATATATAACTTTAACGCACAAGTTATGTCTAGTTCAAATCATGTTGCATCCCTTTCATTCAGACGATCTTCCCCAAGCATCAGGATCATCAGGCACCCCAGCCCAGTGACTGTAGGTGGTTTGCTCTTCGTCCCCTCCGCAAACACCTCGGAAGAGAAGTGGCTCGGCCAAAAACCAGGACCTCACTTGAAATGATCCTTGAATTGTAAGGGTGCTTATCCCAACATGATGCCATTTCAGGATGGTGAAGTAATATAACTATACAGACTATACCATTGCTCCAGCTCCATGCATAACAGATCATAGTGGTGAATATGCCCGCTAGATACCCACCATTTACATCTAATTAATCGCCACTTGCTATGGGAACATCAGCCAGCGTTGCGCAGATTCTGCCGCTTTCACCTTTCCAAGCCCGACTACGACGCGCGGTATGCTTGTTGCGGGGCACTGCATGCAGTGAACCCACGAGGTACGGGTCTCAACATGTTGGAGATTGGATGTAGGAGAAAGCACCATGCAAGACGATGCAAGACGTATAGGCTGCGCCACATCCACCCACGTGGAGCCAGTTGCAGAAGGTGGGATTGCTGGATCCCAGGTCAATTTCCACGGTAGTTGCCAGATGCACCTTTCCACAAGTCTATTTGAAGGCAACTGTGCACACCGTTTTCTTTGGGTCCTGGACTTCTTTGGGTTGGATAGGCTGGATAGGCTAAAAGAGCACGCGAGAGAGAGAGAGAGAGAGAGCAGAATCAAAATTCGTCAGGGGTCTTTCTGTATCAATCTAGCTGCTTGTTGGTTTCCACCATGGTCGGAATACTTGACCCAATTGACTCCAAATTTTCCGTGTTTTTTGGGCCAAAAACCCAGCGGCCAGGTGACAGCACCATGGCTGCTTTGGCCGCCATGGCAGCTTTGGACTTGGGAGGTGGGGCCATGGTCCCAGCTGGGACCGTGCCGTTTGTGGGTCGACCCTGGTGCAGGCGATTCCAAGCAGTTCTGATTGGCATGACAAAGTTCGTGCAAAATGGACGGTCCAGTGGCCAGCTTGTGGAGCTACTGTTGAGACCAAAGGTGCCAGTTGAGAAAAGGCTGGAGTTGGGATTTGATGCTCGCGTTCCATAATCATATATAATTTATTTAAATTTCACACACGGCTCGTTTTTTTGGTCCAAGTGCTACCCACCAAGACGTTGCATTTGTAGCAGGCTGGGAGGACCTCTGCCACAGAAAGTGCGCTTGTCCGATTTGGCTCGAGCGGGCTCATGAGGACAGAGGACAAGAAAGGTCAAATCGGTAAGGGCCAAAATTGGGCACATATGGAATTGCAACATGTGATTTTTCGCTTGCACAGCTAAGTCACCAGTTCTTTTTCGTTGATAATTTTGAGCCATGCCCAAATTAGGAAAGAGTGGTGAGACATTTCCTGCAGCTAGCAATGACATAGTCATACTATGCACGCCTCAACATCCATCGAACGTCCAGATCAACCAGCGTGGCCACCGTGTGTGGCTCCACAGCGGTACAGTCGATGGTGTTGGTGTGGTGAGCTCCTTCATTGAAGGCTGCAGCTGGGTGCACTCATGGGTTGGCAGACATAGCAAATCCGACCATCCAACAGCATTGAATCATTGAACATATAGCGGCGATGGCTATGGGCTATAGGTCAGTACCAAACCCCGAAATAGGGGTCTTATTCACATTCTAACAGGCCATGGTTTCCAGCCATATTAGGGACTGTCACGAGGCGATTATAACAGCTGTGAACCGTGCCACATCCAGCTGTTCAGACGCATCCAGTTGAGCTTTGCAGGTCTTATAGGTCTGGACAATCCACTCTTTATGGTAGGTACCTCCAATTTCGGTTCCTGAAATGACCATTGATCTTGTACAATCCTAAGCTTTGCAAAGTCTTTATCCATTTTATATCATTTTATCATATCCACCATGTTCCAACATGCCTGACACAGATTGTCGCAGCTGCTCAATCTTTCTGAGACGATGAATCGAAGCAGCACCGTTCGCAAGAATGATACAAAGAACGGACGGGGATGGGCCGAAATTGGATTGAACAAAAACAAAACATCTGATATCACTGATATCTGGTCTGACAGTGTAATGATTACACTTGCCTAAATCAGTGGTTCTCCTTGTTTCAAATGTTGCAACCACATCTCCAAGAATTTCGGTGCATCAGCTGCTCACAGGGTCCCATGGGTCCCTGGTGCCATGGGGCATGTGCTGCCCACCGGCCACTGCCCATGTGGAGGGAGAGCCCCACCGCTTTCAGCGCGAGGTTTTTGCGCTCTCTGAGAAGGGGCACCGCCGCGTGTTGGCGCTACGGGATAGGGTGCCTCAACGGCAGTCCCGTGGTGTAAGCTGTTCAAGTGGGTTTGCCTGAAAATATGGAACCCTAAATCTACTGGTTGATCATCATCTCACATCATCTCCCCTACTAACATTGCCATTTGATACTCCATTTGTTGCAACCACAGCCATCACTCATCATTTTTCGCGATCCACCTGGTCATCTGAGCGAGGATAGCTTGGGAGACTTCATCCAGCGCCTGGCAGTGCAGCTGGATGGCAAGGTGCTGAGTCAAGAGCAGCAGAATCGTTTTGTGAATTGGTACTGGCGCTGCTGCAAGAGCCGCCCGTTTCGCCCATTTCAGGCCACTTGGTACACCTTGGGCGAAACGATCAACTCCCAAGCTCCCAGAGATTTTGTGAGATGACTCAAGTTGTGGGTTAACACTCCAAGATCTCCAAGCCTTTTTTTGAAGCAAAACCCATCTCCAGTGTCCAGAGGGTATCATCCAAGGGTCGCATCTCCCAAGGCCAGCTTTCAACAACTACAGGAGACCTTGAAAGAGCAAAGCTGGATCCTTTGGCACGACCAAAGTCTGAGTTCACAAGAGTGGAAGCTGAAAATCTACTCCCAGGTGCCGGGCTGGTTGAAACAGCTTTTAGGTTCCCAGGTTCCCGGGTTCCCAGGTTCCCAATCCAACAGCTCTGTAGGACGAATGGGACAAAAAGATGGGATCATGTTGGACATGTGGGGTGCTTGGCAAAGAGGCAAGTGGCCGTTCAAGTCGTCAACGTTCCAGGGTCCCTCTAGCATCCTGTAGCCAAATAGGAAGGCACAGCTTCAGTGCCAAGCCTCAACAGCCTCAACCATACACATCATTAGTACATCCGTACTTACACGCTCACATCTTTGCTGTATCATTCATGTTTTTCTTATTCCCCATCATCATCATCATCATCATCATCATCATCGTCATCGTCGTCATCATCATCATCATCATCGTCATCGTCATCGTCATCGTCATCGTCATCGTCATCGTCATCGTCATCATCATCATCATCATCATCATCATCATCATCATCATCATCATCATCATCATCATCATCATCATCATCATCATCATCATCATCATCATCATCATCATCATCGTCATCATCCATCGTCATCGTCATCGCATCGTCATCATCATCATCATCATCGTCATCGTCATCGTCATCGTCATCGTCATCGTCATCGTCATCGTCATCGTCATCGTCATCTCATCATCATCATCATCATCATCATCATCGTCATCGTCATCGTCATCGTCATCGTCATCGTCATCGTCATCATCACCATCACCATCACCATCACCATCACCATCACCACCTTCACCATCACCATCACCTTCACCATCACCATCACCATCACCACCATCACCATCACCATCACCATCACCATCACCATCACCATCACCATCACCATCATCATCATCATCATCATCATCCTCATCCTCATCCTCATCCTCATCCTCATCCTCATCCTCATCCTCATCATCCTCATCCTCATCCTCATCCTCATCCTCCTCCTCCTCGTCCTCGTCCTCCTCCTCCTCATCATCACCATCACCATCACCACCACCACCACCACCACCATCATCATCCTCATCCTCATCCTCATCCTCATCCGCATCCGCATCCGCATCCTCATCATCCTAGGCGAAAATCGCGGGATCATCGGCTCATTTCCCTTCGGCCATTTTCCAGGCAGACAGCTTCAAGCATCAGCGAGCCGAATTGAAGGCCTGGCAGAAGCAGCGGCCCCCCTCCACCGATGCCTTGCTGGAGTCGCTCGAGGTTGGGGTTGTTGATGGAACCGGTGACAATTGGGATGATTGGTACTAGGTATACCAGGAATAACTACCAACAGTTACATTTAACAACATGAACATTAATTACTATGACAATCGAAACCACCCGTTTTCCACGGCAACTGGTGTGCTTTCCTCGCTTGCTGTAGAGGCCTGGGATGGTCGTGAGCTGCAACGAAAGGACGAGCTGAGGCTGCCTTTGCAGATGCAAGCGAGGGCATGGCCAATCACTGAGGAGGGCTTTCAGCCACTTTGCCGGGTGGAAAACTTGGCTTGTTCTGGACTTGAAAAAAGGGGGTAACCTGCGGGGTAACAAGAAAACTCCTATGCGCTGGAAGGATATGTCTAAACATGTGTATAAACATGTGCTTATGTGGTTATGTTTAGGTCTTTTTGTTGGGATTCTTCGTCTTCGTCCTTCTGGGTATGTCTCCCGCATCCCAGGCAAGCGAAATTGGCAGGTGATACCGAGATGTGTTCCTTTGTGCAGCAGCTACTGGTGTTGATGGGTGGAAAGGTGCTTCGGAAGGGACAATTGTTGCCCTTCACTTTCTGGTACCTGCGGGTGGGATACAAAACGCATGCGCCTTGACTGCAGTTGGAGTTTGGCAGGTGTGTATAGTCTATAGCTGTCTATATTGTTGTGAACTCCTCTTTTGGATCGCTGGACTGTCCTTAAGAGATCTTAAGAGCATATACATGGCTCAAACAATTGTCATATTCGGAGCCAGAGTTTTGCCCTTATCCCCAAGCATCTGAAACCATCCCTTATCATTTCAACAATGTGGAGCACTCATCCTTCCATTTGTCATTGCTGAAGCCAAGGAAGGTCTAGAAGGCCTCCAGCAAGTGCTACAAGAGCAGACTTGGGTGCTTTTCCCTGATGACAGTCAAAAGCTCCAGGACCATGGTTGCCTGGGGCGTCTGTGGCCTTTGAAACCTTTTATGCAAAACAGACTCAACGAATCTCAACGATGCTTCTGGGTTGTCTATGTCAATTATGTCGCAGACTTATGCGTTGCTCGGATGATCCATCCATTTTTGTTCTTCATAGCAGCGATTCCTTCATGTTAAACGCCGGAAGGCGGTGAAAAGATGTGAAAAGCCAGGTGCTTTTCCAGGCGTTCCTGGTATTTCCGTCTCCCGCTTTCCAGGCCTGGAAGGGCCGCGTGTCCTTGCGGCGGATGCCCAAGCGAAGGAGGTCGAAGGATTGGTTCCTGGCATGGCCCGAGAAAAGGGTGAAGCAGCAGCAGATGGTGAAGGTCTTGTCGGCCAAATTCGTGGAGCCCAAGGAGCGGGAAGAGTTGGATACAAATCCCTAGCTCTTGAGAAGCTAAAGAGATCTAAAGAGCCCAATTACACTTCAACTTCTTTGAACAAATGCATATTGATGCGGATTTGTTTTCACTTGGACCGATCTTACATTTTTTTTGTTCCCATGTTTTGATGGGCAAGATTCATTTTGTCAGCCTTTGAAGGCCGCGCTAGGAATATTTTTGTTTCCTTCCAGCTGGCAACAAGAATCGAATGATCAGACACTGCCGCGAAGTGATTGAAATGCTAAAGCCAGGCTGTCTGGAAATGGGCATGGGTCAAAACTTTAACTAATGCTCCCGGGACTCATGGCTCTTGTTCATTGTCAATCTTAAGCATCCTTTTTTTGCTGTGCCCCATTCTTGAGCCATCCCCAAATCCAGGAGCTTGGGCAATTGATCCTCTTTGCTCATCGCACTTCCCTGATGACCCCGGAGATTTTATCCTTGGCGATACGACGTTTGGGGCACCTGCAACAGTGGCAGAGCGCCTTCGAACTGCTGTGCTCTGCCCACAACGAACGACTGGAGTCCACTGCACCACATGTGGCTGCGGTGGATGTGTGCCGAACCGTGGGTCGCTGGGACATGGCCTTGGGCTGGTTGTCGGATGCCAAGACCTGCAACCTCCCGGCAACCAACGTGAGCAACGCGGTGAGTGCCAGCCTCCTACGTTGCAGGGTGGAGGCTTGGGCAACGATGCTGGAACTGCTAAGGGATCGCCTGGAAAGTGGGCAGCAAGGCTTGCTGCTGGCAGATCAGATCAGCTTTGGCACCGTTTTGGCGGCCTGTAGTCGCTTGCATTACTGGGCACTGGCTGTGGAGTTGGTGCAACTCATGCAGACGTCGCGTTTGACGCCTGACGTTGTTCCTTTGTGCTCAGCGGCAGCTGCTTGCAATCGAGCAGCTGCTTCGAGCATCTCTGGTGCTTGGCGGTGGTCCTTGTATTTCTTTTCCCTGGCTCGCTGGGCCGGGCAAACCCCTAATTTGACGCTGCACAACTGTGCCATCTCTGCAGTGAGCCAAGTGTCAAAGCATGGCAACTGGGCATTAGCCATGCAGAAACTTCAGGCGGGTGGGGGACAATTTCTGAAGCCCATGGCAAGGAATGGCAACGATATATTCCCCAAGACCATGTATGCTATTGATGGCGGTGTTTGGCGCCCGCAGTGGCCTGAAGCATCGGTATATAACTTTATTTTTTTGCAGTTCAAGTCATGGAGTCTTCAGAAATGGAACCTGCCGTTAGACTGGGTTCTAGCTTTTTTGGGTTCTAGTTCCGGGCCTTGATTTTTTCTTGTGATTCAATCCCCACGTTTTTTTTTTGGATGGTCACCCTTTAAAAGTCAACCATGGAACATGGACATGGACAATCTACACTTCTTTCTTTAATCAATAGAAACAAGCATCCAAGAAAGGTGATTTCCATTGCCAAGTTCGATTACCAACGGGTATATTTTGGGCTGTGAAGGTTTCATATATGGAATATTTAGACCCAGAAGCCATACTGTAGCCTGAAATCACATTAAGTCAATTGACACATAGTCTTTTCCGTTGACAAACAGAGGGGGGCCCAAACAAACAGATTCCAAAAATACCCCAAAAAATTCAGACATGGATCACCTGGGTGGAACAAAAAACCATTCAAAAAACGGCAAAATCCCCAGGGGTCTGGGACCTCCGGGACCTCCGTGCAGGATCTCAGCACTTCCCGGCTGCAACCGGACCGCGTCTCCTTCTCCACAGCCTGCGCTGCCTGTCAGCGCGCCGCTGCTGTGGAGCAGGGCTGGCGGCTGCTGAGAGAACTTCCACGGCACTCACTGCGTGGCGTGGTTGGGCACCAGCTGGGTTAGGGTGATGGATTATATCTATGATACTAACAATGCATATAGCATCATATAGCTCTATGATATTCTATGATAATATATCTATAGACTATAGATATGTAGATAAAATCATTCATAAACCACTTACGCAAGCTTTAGCCACAACCTCGATGGTTTGCGAAGCAATTTTACGCAACACAGAGTTGGGGATTGGGTATTTGCAGATCGTAGGTTGGGACTAGGTTAATGTCCAAAATCATTAATTAATCCCATCTCCCAACATTAGATATCCCCATGTTTGCGGCCGCAATGGCTGAATGGCTCCAATACTGTTTCCAGTGTTTCTGGGGGAGTATTTAATATTAGGGGGAAGGGATTAATCACAACAGTATAATATACAGTACATGATCTTGTTTCAGGTGGTGAGTTTGATTCATTTTGACATTCTGAACACCCAAAAGAAGTGGGATGGCTGATGTTGCTCAGGATTGTCATATGGATGCCTCAGCAAGGTACATGATTCAGCATGGCTGGATTGTTGCTTCGAATGCCTAGACACCCTGTGGGGATCCCCTAACTCAGGCGCCTGCGCTCTCTTCTACAGCACCTTGGTGATGACGTGTTCCTCCCAGATGCGGTGGCAGGAAGCGGCGACCTTGCTGCCCCATTTGACACCCGCAGAACGAGCACTTTTTTTGTGGGTGGTGGCGGGCAAAGTTCTGAAAGCTTGGCAATGCTGCCTTTGAATGCGACCAAACAGAAACCAGAAATTAATCCTTTTAAAATCCTTTAAAGTTTTGTTAGTGCATGCACAAGTCCCCTGTTCATGCCACCGCCTAAGATTCTTCCTGTCTGTTGCCACTTCATGCTGAGCTTGATGTGTGCAGGTCGGGTGCCAGTGTCCATGGGTTTTGATCCACACACGTTGGTTTCCATTGTCATAACTGACTCAAAAAGGATCAAAGAGGTACAATGCGGCAAACCAAATAAGAAACTATCACCAAAATCACCAGAAATGGATGGTAGAAATCATCCGCCAATGGTAGGTTCATGGCATTGGTTTTCCCACATGATGTCATATTTGTATATATTTGTGATGTATGCGACGTCCTGTTGTGTGCAGTGTGTGTTGCCCAAGGAAGAGCGGCATGGACACACGCCAAGCGTTCTTGGGCTCTATGGTCATGGCGCGCCTCTGGCCCGAAGCTGTCCAGTTGTTCGACACCTGGCGATCCTACCCTGAGCGCGGCCCACCACGGCGACACCTGGAGCGGAAGTCGGATCTGCTACCAGCCCTGCAGGTCCGAAAGTGGTGGTCTATGGGTTTGTGGTACTTGGCTCACTGATATTCAATTGGGGAATATGTATGTATATATATATATATGTATGTATCAATGACACACACACACATATATATATATATGATTATATACGATTATTTTATACATATATATATATATATACACATGTATTTATCTTGTTCACTATTCTTTTCTATTTTAAACCAATTAACGAGACTTCTTAGTATAGCTATCCCAAGACGGAGGGGTCACAGGTGTGCCGCGCCACGGGCGCCGTGGCGCACGCCCTGGCCTTGCTGCGGGACGTCACGGCCCGGCGGTGGCGCATCGATGCAGAGGCCTTGGCCATGGCGGCCATGGCCGCCAGGAAGGACAGCTGGCAGCGTGCGATGGCCTTTTGGGACGAGACCCGACAGGTTTCCGGGCCCCGTTGGCCTACAAAAAAGATGGAGAAATGGTGAGAAATGGAGGTTTATAGCTGGGAAGACCTAGAAAATGTTTGGAGATAGTGAAAATCTTCGCAGCAAATGGGATTTTCCACGATTTTCCAGTGCAATGTGTGATTTTTCTGGAGGGGATAGATTCTAGATTGATGATGATGTCCAGGGAGGGCTACTGCACCACAGATTCGGGATTGAACATATTTAACAGGACATGCTTTCATGAGGAAGTGGAAGCCCACGCGTTTGCCGAATTGATGCGAATTGGATGCCACTTTTTCCTTCCCCAGAATCTCAATTATTTCTTCATGAATTGCCCCCATGCTTTTTTTTTCTCAACCCAGTACTGAACCGTGATGAGTTCCGATCCGGAGAGCCACCCAAAAGTCGGATTCGAGTCGGTTTCGGGTTTCGGGTTTCGGGTTTCGTCGATTGAAACCCACTTTCGCTGTCGGTTTCGGGTTTCGGGTTTCGGGTTTCGTCGATTGAAACCCACTTTCGCTGTCGGTTTCGGGTTTCAGGTTTCGGGTTTCGGGTTTCGTCGATTGAAACTCGGTTTCGGGTTTCGGGTTTCGGGTTTCGTCGATTGAAACCCACTTTTGCTGTCGGTTTCGGGTTTCGGGTTTCGGGTTTCGTCGATTGAAACCCACTTTCGCTGTCGGTTTCGGATTTCGGGTTTCGGGTTTCGGGTTTCGTCGATTGAAACCCACTTTCGCTGTCGGTTTCGGGTTTCGGGTTTCGGGTTTCGTCGCTTGAAACCAACTTTCGCTGTCCGTTTCGGGTTTCGGGTTTCGGTTTTCCGGTTTTGTCGATTGAAACCCGCTTTTGCTGTCGGTTTCGGGTTTCGGGTTTCGGGTTTCGTCGCTTGAAACCAACTTTCGCTGTCGGTTTCGGGTTTCGGGTTTCGGGTTTCGGGTTTCGTCGCCTGAAACCAACTTTCGCTGTCGGTTTCGGGATTCGGGTTTCGGGTTTCGGGTTTTGTCGATTGAAGCTAACTTTAGCTGTCCGTTTCGGGTTTCGGGTTTCGGGTTTCGTAGGTCGAAACCAGCTTTAGATTCACCAGTACGATGCCGATCTCACATCACCCAAGTGTCGTTCTCCATGCAGTCGTCAAAAACAAAAGCGGTGAGTGACAAGCGCCTGAAAAGGTCAGAGAGGAAAGACGGCAACGGTTTGGGGGAAACTAGCTGTCACTGAGTGGATTAGATTAGATTAGATTAGATTAGATTAGGTAGAGTAGATCAGATTAGATTAGGTAGATTAGATTAGATTAGAATTGGACTAGATTAGGTAGATTAGGTAGATTAGATTAGATTAGAATAGATTAGATTAGATTAGGTAGAGTAGATCAGATTAGATTAGGTAGATTAGATTAGATTAGATTAGATTAGGTAGATTAGATTAGATTAGATAGATTAAACTAGATTAGAATTAGAGCTATATAGATGAGATGAGATTAGAATTATATTTGATTAGATTAGATTAGTTTAGGTAGATTAAATTAGATTAGATGAGATAGATTAGATTAGGTTAGATTAGATTAGTTGGATAGATATGATATGATATGATATGATATGATATGATATCATTAGATTAGATTAGATTAGATTAGAAATATAAGATTAGAAGCATTAGATTAGGTTAGATTAGATTTGCTTAGGTAGATTAGATTAGATTAGATTGGAATAAGAATTATTATAGAATAGGTAGATTAGATTAGATTAGATTAGATTAGATAGATTAGATTAGATTGATTAGATTAGATTAGTTTTGGTTAGATTAGAATCTGATTTGATTAGGTAGATAAGATTAGATTAGAATTAGATTACTTAGATAGATAGATTAGGTTAGATTAGGTAGATTAGATTAGATTAGATTAGGTTAGAATTGGATTAGATTAGGTAGATTAGAGTAGATTAGATTAGGATAGATTAGGTAGATTAGATTAAATTAGATAGATTAGATAGATTAGATTAGGTAGATTAGATTAGATTAGATTAGAATTGGATTAGATTAGGTAGATTCGATTTGAATAGATGAGATTAGATTAGATTGGAATAGGTAGATTAGATCAGATTAGATTAGATTAGATTTGGTAGATTAGATTAGATTAGATAGATTAAGCTAGATTAGAATTAGAGCAGGTTAGGTAGATGAGATTAGGTTAGACTATATAGATGAGATTAGATTTGAATTAGATTTGATTAGATTAGATTAGATTAGGTAGATTAAATATGATTAAATTAGATTAGAATTAGATTAGAATTAGATTAGTCAGATAGTTAGATTAGATTAGGTAGATTAGATTAGATTAGATTAGATTAGGTAGATTGGATTAGATTAGATAGACTAGATTAGATTAGATAGAATAGATTAGGTTAGATTAGATTAGATTAGATAGATTAGATATGATTAGATTAGATAGATTAGATCAGATTAGATTAGATTAGATTAGATAGACAGATTAGATTAGATTAGATTAGATTAGGTTAGCTCTAGATTAGATAAGATCGGTCCTTGGGAAGTTAAGTCTTCAGAGTCGGTTTCGGGTTTCGGGTTTCGCAGTTCGAAACCAACTTTAACAGTCGGTTTCGGGTTTCGGGTTTCGGGTTTCGGGTTTCGGGTTTCGGGTTACGATCGGTCCTGGGGAAGTTAAGTCTTCAGAGTCGGTTTCGGGTTTCGGGTTTCGGGTTTCGGGTTTCGGTCGGTCCTGGGGAAGTTATGTCTTCAGAGTCGGTTTCGGGTTTCGGGTTTCGGGTTTCGCAGTTCGAAACCAACTTTAACAGTCGGTTTCGGGTTTCCGGTTTCGGGTTTCGGGTTTCGGGTTTCGCTGGTCGAAACCAACTCTGCAGACCTCTCTCCGGATCACGTCTCACCGTGATTATCCCTTGGGGGGGTTCTTCTTGACCCGCCCCCCAAACAAGATCATCATCCAATAACCAAACATGGCCATGGAAATTCCACTATTTGGTTCAATGTTTTTCCCAGCTATATACCTTCATTTAGTTCGGGGACACGGGAGGGTAGATCCAATCCTAAACCATGAACTTAGGAACACAGTCTACATAGACAATGTATTCTAATATGTCAGTATATCCCCCTTGGTAATGATGGGTATGCACATCATATATCCCATTGTAAAAACCCCATTAAATCCACATAACCCCCATATATGCAATCTGAAGCCATGCTTCCTGGCTATTATTTGGGGTGTGTTGAATTTCAGGTGGGACTGGACTCACCGAAAACTCCGTTTTCGGTGCAGTTTTCGGCGAGATCGTGGCCGATCGCCTTGGCTTTGGCGGATGGAAGCTGCGAGGTGCTGCATGGGGGTGCCCCGAAATCATGAAAGATAAAACCATGGAATCTAATGTGGCAATGGAAAACCCACCATCTATAGATTCATTTAGTTTGATGATTTCCCCAGCTATAAACCTGCATGGCTAGCTTTTTTCCCTTTTGTAAACGGTTTTTGGGCATGGCTATGATTCACGGTAATTATGACCATTTGATATCATTTGAAGGGTTCCGGGTGAGAACAGAGTGGACACGAGGCCATGAATGGTGCGAATGGATGGCAGTTCTCGCTGCAACAGCAGCGCCAGATGGCGCTCGCAGAGCCCGATGCCCGGCAGCATCAAGCTTGGGCCCCAGATCCGTACATCGGTTCGTCCCAGCCTGGGGTTACCATCGTTTGATATAGGTTACCAGGGTTACCACGGTTGCCAGGAATGTGGATGGTTAATGCTCAGAACCCTCCCCCCTTGGCCTGAAATTTTGACCCACCATCTCAGTGGGTTGGCCCTGCAGGCTTGTGCGGAGCCATGGTGCTTAGAACACGGCGTGGAAAAGAGTGGCTCATCCTGGAACTTGGAAAAAAGAGACTCGTCCTCTTCGGTGGCTGTTTCGAGTTGCCCATATTTTTGGTCCTACAAGCCATGTGGCGCTGCGTCCCTGTGGCACCATATGATCCATATCCCAATGGGTCATTTGACCTGCAGGTCATGCAACGCGTCTCCTTCTCCTTAACGGCGCTGGATCTGCGCATGGTGCGCCAGGGCTACTTCTAGGAAGGGGCAGTGCAGCAACCAGCCCGGAAGAAGCAGTCCCAAATCTGGTGGAAACTGAGTGGGAGCTCGAGTGAAATTGGTAATGTTTTTTTCCATCGAAACGTGAGCGGCGATTGTGAGCAATACCCATGCCTTGTTCAGGATTCAGTGTGTCTAACACCACGTCTCAGAGAATCCATTTTATCAAAGGAAAGGAAAGGTTGGGTCAAACCGTGTTAGAGCCATCCAATCTCACCCAGTAGTTTGCAATGCACCTCCCTGGTTAAACTGCGTTCTTTTAGTTCCACAATTCCGATTTCAAGCCTTTCAAGCCATGTCAGGTTGATCCTGTGAGCTTGGACAGCCTCAACCTTCCCAAGTGGTGCAAAAGTTCTGGAATCGCCAAGGTGCAGCTACGGGCCGGTCAGAGCCAGTGGGATAGCTGTGGCAGAAGCCATGTAGATTGCCCTGGCCCCATTCCAACAGCCATTTTTGGGGCCCGGTTGCTATGCCCATTTTGCCAGGTGCCGGTGGTGAGGCTCTTTGGTATCTCTCGTCAAGGCGCCAGTGCCGGTGCCTTAGATTTGGGAGAGATGGAGGGTTGCAGCACCAGCCAATATTCCACGCCCAGGTTTGCGCCCACGTGCACGGATCCTGGCCTTTCTTTTATGCCCGAAGCTTAGTTGAGCAAGCTCTTGGGAGGTCCAAGGGCCATCATGTGTGGGTGGGTCGAAATCAAAGCACCCAGAGGCCCAGTAGCATATCAATTCCACACACACACAGATAGATAGATAGATAGATAGATAGACAGACAGACAGACAGACAGACAGACAGACAGACAGACAGATAGATAGATAGATAGATAGAGATATAGATATAGATATAGATAGATATAGATAGATATAGATAGATATAGAAAGATATAGATAGATATAGATAGATATAGATAGATATAGATAGATAGATATAGATAGATATAGATAGATATAGATAGATAGATATAGATATAGATATAGAGAGATATAGATATAGATAGATAGATATAGATAGATAGAGATAGATATAGATAGATATAGATAGATATAGATAGATATAGATAGATATAGATAGATATAGATAGATATAGATAGATATAGATAGATATAGATAGATATAGATAGATATAGATAGATATAGATAGATATAGATAGATATAGATAGATATAGATATAGATAGATATAGATAGATATAGATATAGATAGATATAGATAGATATAGATAGATAGATAGATAGATAGAGATAGAGATATAGATATAGATATAGATATAGATATAGATAGATATAGATATAGATATAGAGATAGATATAGATATAGATATATATACTGTATATATAGATAGATATATATAGATAGATATAGATATAGATAATAGATAGATAGATAGATAGATAGATAGATAGATAGATAGGTTATATTTTAAATTATATATATATATCTGTGTGTGTATAACCACATAATTTATCATAATTTTTGTTGTCCCCCAAATTGAACCCAGTTGGCCATTCTTGCAAAGCCATCGAAAGTTGGCCAGGCCGAACTTTCAGAGGAGCTGGCCCAGCAGCTGACATGTACAGACACCGATGGCGAGGCGTGACATGGGTTGGGGTTGAGTCTGTATACTCGGCTCAGCTGGTTTATAACTAGCTGAACTAAGGTTTAAGGTGGCTATATTGTATATATATATATTCTATAATAGATCTATAGTTGGATGTTGGGGGGTGCCTTATTTTTGTTGATTTACTTTTTTCTGTGGCTGGTACTCTATGTTGAACTCTATTTGACCACCATTTGAGGAAACAAACAGGTCCGAAAAGCAAAAAACCCTCGGATTCTTTTGCATTTCTTTGGGTGCTTCGTTTTGCCGGCCCCATTTTTGTTGGTTAAGATCCAAAAAAAACTAAAATTAAATTTAAATAGCTGAATCTTTTGTGGAATAGCTGAATTACCGGTATTTCCATTGCTTCCAGATTTTGTAGGCAGAAAGTTGTAAGCCACCTGACCTCCCATAGCTGGCGCATGCTGGCGCCAGATTGCCCAGCCGGCCCAGCTAGCTGCGGCCATTGAAGATGCGGTGAATCAGCGGCGCTCGAGAGCCGTGAAGGTGGTGAACCTCCAATTGGAGAGGCACTGGATGCCCTGGTGACGTGGGGAAGATCGATTGAGCACAAGGGATATGGATGTGAACTAATAACATACCGTATCACCAGGGTTTTTGATAGCCATATCCAGCAGATTCCAAGGGTGAAACCTGTGGACTTTTGCTAAATTTACTGCTGCTGATATCTCTATTCTCTGCTGCCGCAGCACATCCGAATCCCAACCAATTTTTGGTGGCTTAAACAATTAATGAGCTCTGAAAATCCAGCCAAATCCCAAGAATCAGCCAATCACCAGTCTCCTTAAACATCCCCCAAAAACATGAGCCAGATCAATCAAAATCCACATCCCAGGATTTTTCGCCCCACATTTTCCCCACATTTTCCCAGGTGGCGCTCCGTCTATGGCCTCCACCTGGCCTTGGCGCCCTTTCTGCGGGTGGAACTCATGGACCCCCGCGACGTGGAGCTGGTGGCCGCCGCGCTGCAGCAGGGCGATGTGCCACGCTTGGGCACGGTGCAGGCGAAACGGATCGAAACGGGATGGCGACCGAAACGGAGCCCTTGGAGCCCTGGAGGATCCCACATGAAGTGACGTTAGGATTGCCCAAGAAATTATACAAAATTATACAAAGGTAAGTTAGGACTATTAATCCTAACTTGACATTTTTGACGCGATGTGCGATGTGCTCGCGAAGTTATGGTGAAATTGGAAGAAACATTGGAGATTCAATGAAGAATTTGGTTGGGGTCTGGACATTTTGAGTTGGAGCCAGTTCGATGGGTTAAATCGTATTTTTTTTGCTGGTGCAACAGGCTGCAATTTTGGTGAAACGGGGGAACAGCTTCATGTTGCTTGGAGAAAGGGATCAATTGTGAGGCTTGGAAGAAGTGCTGGATGCTGCCATTTGTTGCAGTGAGCGAGTCAACCAGGTCATCTTTGAGCCGTAAAGAAACTGCAATGGCAAACCCCATCCCCTAGCAGATGGGAGGCACACGAAGCTCATTTGCCATTTCTTCTTCACTTTCTTTCTGAGTGCGGGACCTGAGCATGAGTCCCACCTTCTAGGCTTCCCCTTGTTGGTGATTTTTCCGCTATAGTTCAGTCCCAGTTACATTTGATGCTCCCCCAGCAAGAGGCCCCATATTTTTCAAGGGTCTTCATCATTTTTTCATGATCAAACCATCATGTTCGTAATTTTTTGGGGCGTTACCACTGCTTATTTTCGATGATAAAACGTGGCATTTTTGTGGTGTGCCCCCAGCAGTTGAGGCACCACTTGAGCGGCGCGGGCTTGGTACGGGTCAGCGGCACGGAGCGGGCAAGCCGCCTGAGCTGCTGCACGCTGGAGTGCCTCGAAGCACTGGTGGGCACGTGGGTGTGCTAACTGGGGTTACAAGCCATTAAAAAATGGGAAAAACGGTTGGTGGTTTGGAACATTTTTTTATTTTTCCGTATATTGGGAATAATAATCTCTACTGACTAATATTTTTCAGAGGGGTTGAAACCACCAACCAGGATAATGTTAGTAAAGCAATGTCAGAAACCACCCATGTGGATTCATATGGATTGATGGTTTATACTCCCATTTATGGTAAATGTGGGGATGGTTTATGAAATAGCTTTACAAACGTTAATCCACGATATGGGGACTTACTGATTCACCAGGGTTATCAATGAACCATTTACGAAGTGGGATGATTTTGTACGTAGAGGGTTCCAAAAAAAGATGGACATGTTGTGTAAAGTCTAGGTCTAGGTCCTAGGTTTGGTGGTTGGTTTCCCTGGCTTTGGATGATTGTGGACAGTCCCTGATCTGATCAAAGTCTTTTTGTGGAAAAAAAAAGCCGCTCCACCAAGGCTTGACGTGATGGCGCCGGGGCGCCTGTGAAAACACTTCTGCATGGCCAGTGTGGTTGCCAGTGGCGAAGTCATGTCATGGCTATGGGATGGCTATGGGATGGATGGGTCATGCCATGGGGAACATTTCGATGGCTCCATTTCCAGCCAAGGCCCGATGGCATTGTGAACTGGACCGAGTATGCTGCCTGTGTTGAGGGCAGCATTTCTGGGAATCAATTTTGGCTATTTTGGTCCAATGGCGGCCCTACTATTGAGATGGACGCATCGATTATTATCAGGTAGATTTTATCCTTGAGATGGGACACTTATCCAGCAAAAATGGCGTCCACCATCCAAGTTTCATCCTGTTTTTATCGATGGACGCTCCAATCTATGATCACGGGGGTGCTTTAAGGCCTCCCAGGGAAAATTTACCGCAAACCAGTCTTCTTACAGCCAAACAAATATAAACCAAAACAAGTCAATAAGTAAGGTCCCGCCCCCCCCCACACACACACGGATATGTATGCCATGCATATAATTACACACACATCATATATATATATATATATATGTATAATACATATATCATTTTCACACACGCATACATAATACATACATCTATATCTATTATCTATATCTATTATCTATATCTATATCTATATCGTCTATAGTCTTTATCTAATATCTATATCTATATTTGCATCTACATCTATATCTACATATATATCTATATATATTTACATACATGTATATACACAATGGATATAAAGTTCACCCAAAAAAACATAACATATATTTTTTTAAACGAACATCCACCAGGTTTCTATGTGGATTTGTCGCCAGGTTTCGGGAGCTGCTGGAGCGCTGCAGGGGCTCGGAAGCGAAGGCCTTGGCGGCCTTGCGAGCACAGCTGTGTGCCTTGGGATGATGTGATGGTTTCATGGGAAAATCATAGGAAAACCATAGGAAAATGGTGGTTTTACCCTCTGGTAAACTAACATAACTATGGAAAATCACCATGCTATTAATGGGAAAATCAACTATAAATGGAAAAAATATGGAACATCCCCATTTTAATGGGAAAACTCAACTATTTCGACTGGGCCATGGCTTCAATAGCTAGCAGCTAACTGTTAGTCGTTACCAGAGGGTAAACCACCCATTCTGGGAATGGTAACCATATATACCAGCTATAAAAATGGTGTCTGGGGGATGGTTTATGATTGTTTTAGCCACATTTATTCATATTTCCATATGAAATTAGGGAGCCAAGGGGCTAGGAGTTTCTCAAGGTAATGAATGATGGCAATGAATGCTGGTAATCAATGCTAATTTGGGGATGAATCAAGCCGTGCAGTTTCTTTTTTTAGTGGGGATGGTAGTGATATGTCATGATTGTGATAGGACAGCATCCTGACAGGTAGCCGAGCTCATCAAAGGGATGGTATTGGGTGTAGCCCATGAAAATGGATATGGAAATCCATTGCTTTGCCCTAAAATGACAATGATGATCATTGATGGCGTTTCGACCCAGTTTAAGTTGCAAGAGGGTAGTAGTGTGGAGAGAAAGAGCAAACCCCGCAAATGATAAAATGATCTTTACGATTAGTTTGGAAACATCTGAGTAGTTAGGATTGTGGGAATCATCAGGATTAATGATTATCCCCAGCATTGGGCTGAGTACTTTATACATGAAGAATCTTGGAATGTGCTAAGAATTTGGAGCTATGGTTGGGAAGCGCCTGATTTGAGCAGCCTGCAGAAAGATTTAGCATGGCTCTGAGTGTCATTTTTTCACGGATGAAGGCTGGCAGAACAGGTCCCAAAATGAAAGTTGACCTCTTTATTTTAGGCGGGATCCAAGGTACTGGTAAGAGCAGGAATCATCATCAATGATATACCCAATTGGTGAGACTTAATGTACATACACACATATACATATGTATACACATACCCGTTATTTTTTTGCATTCGCATACCTTATCTACATTCCCTTGATTTTCCAATTATTCCATTGGTTTTCCAGTGGCTTTCACCTAGGCCAAGGGCCCAAAGTGCCCAGTTCAGTGCCAAAAAACTTGGCCACATCCCCTCGGCCGGTGCCTGGGGCCAGGCTGGGACGTGATCACATTTCAACCGATCTCCTTAGGATATCTTGGAACACTTAGAACGATAGATTTTGGATGGTTTTGGATGGTTTTTCGGATGATTTCGGATGATTTTGGATGATTCTGGATGATCTTTGGATGATTTTGTATGGTTTTGGATGATTTTCGGATGTTTTCGGATGATTTCGGATGATTTCGGATAATATTGGGGGGAAGGGACTACTACGAACTTTCATTTCACAGGGGTTCAAAGTGCTCCAACTTTCAGAGCTGGAAAACTCCAAATTTCAGCAGAAGGATTTTCCACCTTTCCCTGTTGGATTTTCGGGGAGTCATATAGGCTCCAGTAAACACACATGTCAAAGGACAATGCCAATCAATATCCATTGATATACTTATACTAATAAGACTTATGCTGGATGAGTATATACAGATTAAGATGCAATGTCCCCATATGTGTATATAGTTTTTTATGGGACATTCTAGGGAGAATCATCAAAACATCCACAGAAATGGGGAGCTTCGAAACCTTTTTGGAAAATCATGTTTCTTTTGCATCAAAATTGCACTTCCCCAACTAAACATAAATAGAGGGGTTGGAAGACTACTTTCTTCAAAAAATGGGCGATGCTCAGCGTCCAATATTCATCGGGGGCAGGTTTCAAAGATGCCATTTTGAAAGTGTGCCAAACTTTACAATGATATTTACCCTCTGGTAATTTAACATAGCTATTGAAAATGACCCAGTCGAAATAGTGGATTTCCCCATTGAAAATGGTGGATCTTTCCATAGCTATGTTAGTAATTACCAGAGGGTAAAACCACCATTTTCCTATGGTTTTCCTATGATTTTCCCATAAAACCACCATTTTCCTATGGTTTTCCTATGATTTTCCCATAAAACCACCATTTTCCTATGGTTTTCCTATGACTTTCATCATCTTTTTGCAACTGGTCCAACTCTTCCCCAAAAAAGGACGCCCTTGGCGCTTCGCGCAGCCTTGCAGCGCTGGCTGCGGGGCGGTGAAGCGCCATTGACCGAGGTGATCCGTGGTGATCCTGGGTTCTAAGACACTCCCAGATGGAATTACCCTCTGGTAATTTAACGTAGCTATTGAAAATGGCCATTTATAGTGGAATTTCCCATAAAAAATGGTGATTTTCCATTGCTATGTTAGTTCACCAGAGGGTAAATGATATGGGTATGGATCAATACCTATGAAAATACAATTTTTAGTGGGATGAACATCCATAAATCCCAGCTATTTTGATGTGAACAGAAGGGGTACAAGGTTTTGACACACTGCCATATGTGTATGAAATTGATGAAGTATTTTATTGACTGTACACACACACACATATATATATATATACATATGGAATTGCGTATGCATGTTGAATCATGTATGTACACACGTGTATTTATAATCTTCTGTTGATTTATTTCACTAACCAATGCATCTAGATGAAGTATCTGAATACCCTGCCACGCCTGAGATTCATCTTTGGTCTTTGCCCCAACAATTGAACTCAGTTCAACATACGCAACATAGACATCATTATTGTTATAATTGCCACTAGGGTCATTATCATTCTTATCATTAAACACTGTGCCGGTCATATTTTAGACTTCCTATTTTTGCTGGTTGGTGGTTTGGAACATTTTTTATTTTTCCATAAAGTTGGGAATAATAATCCCAACTTTCATATTTTCAAGAGGGGTAGGTATACCACCAAGCAGTTTGTGCGCCGGTACTATTACACATGCATTACAAACAGGGCAGGCCGCGAGATCTCCAAAGCAAAATGGATGGGTTTTTGGTGGGAAATTGGTCGGAGCACGTGTTGACGACCGGAGGCTGGAACCCCAAAATATGATATAAGAGTTGGAACAGTTGGAACATATGATCAAAGATAAATTCAATTAAATTACAGTACTTGAGTGTCGTTATTATCATTCTTGTTACCATTTGATTGTTATCATCATTCTAACTATTGTCATTATAGTAATGTCTGAGTCTATTACTATTGTCATTATTCTTATCATATAAAAGTATGCTGATAACATTTTTGGTCTTACTATTATTATTGTTTTAGCACTACTGTTCAACAATTGTACTGAGAGCATTATCATCATTATTATTATTATCGTCAGTGAATTACTATTATCATTACTATTACTATTGCTATTTGCTGTTCGTTTTCTTATACCATTACTACAACTAAAACTATTATTATTGCTAGTGCATTATATATATATATATGTCAATAATAAGATTAATCTCAGTTACCAAAGATAATTAATATGTCACTAAGATTATTACCATCATTTTCACTGATTATTATTAATAGATATTGCTGTAACTATTACTAGTTTACTAGTTTACTATTTTACTATAACTATTACCATTCTCATTAATAATATTATTCAACTATTATGAGTAACTATCATTTATTAATCATTTATTACAGTAATCATTAATAATATCAATAAACATGTCCATTACTATTGGGATTACTATTTCCATTCCTATTATTAGTACAGTGATAAGATTAATACATACCGTGGATGGTTGAAATCCTGCACCAGTTGGTAGATGGATGGTTAACATCCCCCGACAAATCCCATTATAGTCCCGGTGTTTCCAGTTGGAATCCCAAGAGTTTCCAACTGGTGCAGGATTTCGCAACCATCCACAGGATTGCTCTTCATTAACAATATTTGATAATGGATGGTAATCTTGGGTGATACATCACCAATAGCTGATGTTTTGAGTTACTTATATCATCATCATCATCATCATCATCATCATCATCATCATCATCATCGTCATCGTCATCGTCATCGTCATCGTCATCGTCATCATCATCATCATCATCATTGTTAATATTGAGTAACGATCATTTATTATCATTCATCATAAGATCAATTATTGCGCTATATATGATAGTCATATTATCAGCATTAATACCTGATGAAATATGAATCATTTAATGACATTACCATCATGAACATATCACCATCATTCAAAATTGTAATGGTCATATTACCATTTTTTATAATATATTAGATAAATCTTGCCATTATAAATGATTACTTATCATTATTCATATTGCCATTTTCAAAGAACCTCAGTTGCCCAAACCATCAGCCAGGCCACTGCGGCCTTCTCGGCCATGGCACAGGAGATGGCTACGGAGTGGCAGCGTGCGCAACGCGCGGTGCAGGACTGGTGATGGAGAGTGGAGGTCAGGGTCAGCGGGGGGAAATGGTTGTTTGATAGCTGGGGAAATGCTGGAGAATTTTCGTTTCAGTTTTTTTTGGATCAATTTTTTAGTTCATTTTAGTTTCTTTTTTGAAATCTAAGTTGGGTTGAGTTGACATCGGACCCGACTGGTTTTTGAGCAGGAAACAACCGCTGGCTGACTTCTGGATCCACCATCCGTCCCCGTGTTGGGTTCAGGACATTGAAGACTTGGCCAAAGGCTGGGCGCCGAATATGACACTTTCACCCCCTGGGAAACAATCCGTAGAAACCCATAGCAATCCATAGCAATCCATAAACATTCAACGCTAATAGGCCATATCTACTGGATCCACATCCTGATTTGCCAGATATGCATGGTCCCTTATGGTCCCTGAAAAATTGGTTTACAGTTCATTCTCCTGCACAAACGCCTTTTTTTTGCATCTCCCAGGGGGATCGAAGTTGTCAAAGTTCCGGGAAGCCTCGCCGGCCAGGTGCGATGGGGATCGATCATTTTAGTGATGTTTTAGTCGATTTTTACCCTCTGGTAATTTAACATAGCTATTGAAAATGGCCATTAATGGAGGATTTTCCCATTAAGAATGGTGATTTTCCATAGTTATGTTAGTTTACCAGAGGGTATGAACTAAGAACTATACATGAACTATACATATATATATATAACAATCCTGGAGTAGATAGAATCCAGTTTCGTAGGGGGCGTTTTTTTTTTTGAAAAAACCCAGTGTTTTTTGACCCAATACTAAACTATATATTCGGACCCCCTAGATAGAATATTCCAAAATCTACTCCAGGATGCTCAAAATGTGTTTTTTTTTCCTTTCCTTTTCAAAACCTTCCAATTTATTTTTTTCTTTCAAATTTTCCTTTTCAAACAGCTGCAAAAAATGAACTTTGGATGGTAAGATCGTAGACGTAGATTCCTACTTTTTTCATTTCCTTTTCCTTTCACACTTTTCCCTTCAAAAATCTGTAATTGTGAACTTTGGATGGTAAGATCGTGGATTCCAGCTTTTCTCATGCCATGTTCCTTTCAAAGTTTGATTCCTGCTTTTCTCATGTCCTTTTCCTGTCACAGTTTTCCATTCAAAAGCCTTCAATTATGAACTTTGGATGGTAAGATCGTGCATTCCAATTTGTTTCCTTCCATTTTCCTTCCAAGTTTCCTTTTCAAACAGCTGCGAGAATGAACTTTGGATGGTAAGATCAGCTATTCCTACTTTTCTCATGCACTCTTCCTTTCAAACACAGTTTTCCATTCAAAAACCTTCAATTATGAACTTTGGATGCTCGATCTTGGATTCCTACTTTTCTATACTTTTCTCATCTCCTTTTCCTTTCGCAGCTTTCTTTTCAAAAACATGCAAGACTGAACTTTGAATGGTAAGATCGTGGATTCCTTCTTTTCTCATCCCATTTTCCTTTCGTTGCTTCTTTTCAAAAACCTGCAATTTCAACTTTGGATGGTAAGATCTTGGATTCCTACTTTTTAGATGTCATTTTCCTTTTAAAGCTTGCTTTCAAACAGCTCCAAGAATGAACTTTGGATGGGTAGATGTGGAGGAAGGGGCAGGGAGCACCATCAATACATGCTTAATCTTAATCCCAAACATCCTTTAAAAATTCAGTCTTTTCATGGTTCTAGAGGATATTCTATCTATAGTTTTGCCCAACTGTCCTAGCACAGTACTAGCACAAATGAACTTTGGATGGTCGATCTTGGATTCCTACTTTTCTATACTTTTCTCATCTCCTTTTCCTTTCACTGCTTTCTATTCAAAAACCTGCAAGACTGAACTTTGAATGGTAAGATCGTGGATTCCTTCTTTTCTCATCCCATTTTCTTTTTGTTGCTTCTTTTCAAAAACCTGCAATTTCAACTTTGGATGGTAAGATCTTGGATTCCTACTTTTTAGATGCCATTTTCCTTTTAAAGTTGCTTTCAAACAGCTCCAAGAATGAACTTTGGATGGGTAGATGTGGAGGAAGGGGCAGGGAGCACCACAAATACATGCTTAATCCCAAACATCCTTTAAAAAATTCAGTCTTTTCATGGTTCTAGAGGATATTCTATCTATAGTTTTGCCCAACTGTCCTAGCACAGTACTAGCACAAATGAACTTTGGATGGTCGATCTTGGATTCCTACTTTTCTGTACTTTTCTCATCTCCTTTTCCTTTCACGGCTTTCTATTCAAAAACCTGCAAGACTGAACTTTGAATGGTAAGATCGTGGATTCCTTCTTTTCTCATCCCATTTTCTTTTTGTTGTTTCTTTTCAAAAACCTGCAATTTCAACTTTGGATGGTAAGATCTTGGATTCCTACTTTTTAGATGCCATTTTCCTTTTAAAGTTTGCTTTCAAACAGCTCCAAGAATGAACTTTGGATGGGTAGATGTGGAGGAAGGGGCAGGGAGCACCACAAATACATGCTTAATCTTAATCCCAAACATCCTTAAAAAATTCAGTCTTTTCATGGTTCTAGAGGATATTCTATCTATAGTTTTGCCCAACTGTCCTAGCACAGTACTAGCACAAATGAACTTTGGATGGTCGATCTTGGATTCCTACTTTTCTGTACTTTTCTCATCTCCTTTTCCTTTCACGGCTTTCTATTCAAAAACCTGCAAGACTGAACTTTGAATGGTAAGATCGTGGATTTCTTCTTTTCTCATCCCATTTTCCTTTTGTTGCTTCTTTTCAAAAACCTGCAATTTCAACTTTGGATGGTAAGATCCTGGATTCCTACTTTTTAATGCCATTTTCCTTTTAAAGCTTGCTTATGGGTAGATGTGGAGGAAGGGGCAGGGAACACCACAAATACATGCTCAACTCCAAGCATCCTTTAAAAATTCAGTCTTTTCATGGTTCTAGAGGATATTCTATCTATAGTTTTGCCCAACTGTCCTAGCACAGCACTAGCACAAATGAACTTTGGATGGTCGATCTTGGGTTCCTACTTTTCTATACTTTTCTCGTCTCCTTTTCTTTTCACAGCTTTCTATTCAAAAACCTGCAAGACTGAACTTTGAATGGTAAGATCGTGGATTTTCTTTTCTCATCCCATTTTCCTTTTGTGGTTTCTTTTCAAAAACCTGCAATTTCAACTTTGGATGGTAAGATCTTGGATTCCTACTTTTTTAATGCATTTTCCTTTTAAAGCTTGCTTTCAAACAGCTCCAAGAATGAACTTTGGATGGGTAGATGTGGAGGAAGGGGCAGGGAGCACCACAATACATGCTTAATCCCAAACATCCTTAAAAAATCAGTCTTTTCATGGTTCTAGAGGATATTCTATCTATAGTTTTGCCCAACTGTCCTAGCACAGTACTAGCACAAATGAACTTTGGATGGTCGATCTTGGATTCCTACTTTTCTGTACTTTTCTCATCTCCTTTTCCTTTCACAGCTTTCTATTCAAAAACCTGCAAGACTGAACTTTGAATGGTAAGATCGTGGATTCCTTCTTTTCTCATCCCATTTTCCTTTTGTTGCTTCTTTTCAAAAACCTGCAATTTCAACTTTGGATGGTAAGATCTTGGATTCCTACTTTTTAGATGCCATTTTCCTTTTAAAGTTTGCTTTCAAACAGCTCCAAGAATGAACTTTGGATGGGTAGATGTGGAGGAAGGGGCAGGGAGCACCACAAATACATGCTTAATCCCAAACATCCTTAAACAATTCAGTCTTTTCATGGTTCTAGAGGATATTCTATCTATAGTTTTGCCCAACTGTCCTAGCACAGTACTAGCACAAAATGAACTTTGGATGGTCGATCTTGGATTCCTACTTTTCTATACTTTTCTCATCTCCTTTTCCTTTCACGGCTTTCTATTCAAAAACCTGCAAGACTGAACTTTGAATGGTAAGATCGTGGATTCCTTCTTTTCTCATCCCATTTTCTTTTTGTTGCTTCTTTTCAAAAACCTGCAATTTCAACTTTGGATGGTAAGATCTTGGATTCCTACTTTTTAGATGCCATTTTCCTTTTAAAGTTTGCTTTCAAACAGCTCCAAGAATGAACTTTGGATGGGTAGATGTGGAGGAAGGGGCAGGGAGCACCACAAATACATGCTTAATCCCAAACATCCTTTAAAAATTCAGTCTTTTCATGGTTCTAGAGGATATTCTATCTATAGTTTTGCCCAACTGTCCTAGCACAGCACTAGCAAAAATGAACTTTGGATGGTCGATCTTGGGTTCCTACTTTTCTATACTTTTCTCGTCTCCTTTTCTTTTCACAGCTTTCTATTCAAAAACCTGCAAGACTGAACTTTGAATGGTAAGATAGTGGATTATTTCTTTTCTCATCCCATTTTCCTTTTGTGGTTTCTTTTCAAAAACCTGCAATTTCAACTTTGGATGGTAAGATCTTGGATTCCTACTTTATTAATGCCATTTTCCTTTTAAAGTGTGCTTTCAAACAGCTCCAAGAATGAACTTTGGATGGTCGATCTTGGATTCCTACTTTCTATACTTTTGTCATCTCCTTTTCCTTTCACAGCTTTCTATTCAAAAACCTGCAAGACTGAACTTTACATGGTAAGATCGTGGATTCCTTCTTTTCTCATCCCATTTTCCTTTTGTGGTTTCTTTTCAAAACCTGCAATTTCAACTTTGGATGGTTAGATCTTGGATTCCTATTTTTTAATGCCATTTTCCTTTTAAAGCTTGCTTTCAAACAGCTCCAAGAATGAACTTTGGATGGGTAGATGTGGAGGAAGGGGCAGGGAGCACCACAAATACATGCTTAATCCCAAACATCCTTTAAAAATTCAGTCTTTTCATGGTTCTAGAGGATATTCTATCTATAGTTTTGCCCAACTGTCCTAGCACAGCACTAGCACAAATGAACTTTGGATGGTCGATCTTGGATTCCTACTTTTCTGTACTTTTCTCATCTCCTTTTCCTTTCACGGCTTTCTATTCAAAAACCTGCAAGACTGAACTTTGAATGGTAAGATCGTGGATTTCTTCTTTTCTCATCCCATTTTCCTTTTGTTGCTTCTTTTCAAAAACCTGCAATTTCAACTTTGGATGGTAAGATCCTGGATTCCTACTTTTTTAATGCCATTTTCCTTTTAAAGCTTGCTTTCAAACAGCTCCAAGAATGAACTTTGGATGGGTAGATGTGGAGGAAGGGGCAGGGAACACCACAAATACATGCTCAACTCCAAGCATCCTTTAAAAATTCAGTCTTTTCATGGTTCTAGAGGATATTCTATCTATAGTTTTGCCCAACTGTCCTAGCACAGCACTAGCAAAAATGAACTTTGGATGGTCGATCTTGGATTCCTACTTTTCTATACTTTTCTCATCTCCTTTTCCTTTCGCAGCTTTCTTTTCAAAAACCTGCAAGACTGAACTTTGAATGGTAAGATCGTGGATTCCTTCTTTTCTCATCCCATTTTCCTTTCGTTGCTTCTTTTCAAAAACCTGCAATTTCAACTTTGGATGGTAAGATCTTGGATTC